GTGTGTTGGTGTGAGCAAGTTGGTGTGATGAGTAGGGTGGTGGGAGGAGGTGAAGCCCGGCAAAAGTAAGAACCCCACAGTAGCATGTGGGGAATAGTCATAACAATAACTGCACCAACTGTGATAGCTGCTCTATGACCGAAAACCTTGACAGTCTATGACCGCTGCGGATGATGGCTGCACTATGGCAGGACTCCCACTATGCTTTTGTTTCACCTGGCCCACAAGCTAGCCAAACAAGGCAAGGTGCGGCCACAGCAAAATGCCATTGTGTAAGGAGCCTTATCTGGTTGAGGCATTTCACTTTTCTGTGTGTCTTGGAGCAAGAGCAAGCAAATTTGCACGAGAGACACATACCCTTCCTTCTGGGTCCCTGGTTGATAAGTATCACCAAGAACATGTGACATTGCAATCTGAACGCAACCTGAGAATTCCCACAAGCAACCGAGTTCCTCCACCGCATCATCCAGACCATCTCCAGCATCCCCTTCCCAGCCCACAAGACCATCTGAAGTCATGTTCTTGACAGGAAGGCAGCTGATGGTGCTCCAGGCCGCATAGGAAGGCAGCTGATGGTGCTGGGTTATGTTCACTGTCCCTGAATTGGTTGGCACGGCTAGTGCCTTTTGATGTGATAGGTTTCTACTGGAAGTGGCCGTAGGTTCTTTCGCCCCATGGAGGTGGACGCTTACCGGCATTGAAGCTGACGTCTGCCTTCGGAAGCATTGTATCTTTACCGCCAGTGCAGTAGTATCTGGTACGGTCAGGTGCAGCTTGTCAAGCGTTGCAACCCTTGGTGCTGGTGAAATGATTGGATGAAGGTTTTGTCTATCTTTGGTTCTACCTTAAGAACTACCGTAGTCCAGGCGTTTCATGATTTCAGGTTGCCCGTCGTCCCATTGGGTCCTGCACTCCGTGAAACCACCCAAGCTCGCCTGGTGGTGGCATACCTGCAAGAGAGAAGATTTGCACTTCAAATATGCCGCTGATCGTCTTCCGACGAAACAATTCTTTCCGAGTTGCTATACATAGACGGCACCATGCCCGGGGGTCCAAGACCCGGTGGCGGCATTGTGTACATTGCTGGCACACCTACGTGCAAAGCAAAAAGAGAGCGGTTCAACTACGCAATAGAAACTAAAACACTACGTAGTGTGGCTCTCAACCATTCCACAATGCTTGAAATTGTATTGCTGCTCATCGGCCAGATATAAAGTATCCAAAAGTAATTTGTCAAAAGACATCTTCAAAGCCCCTTGAGCGACCGGCAACAGACCCTATCCTACAAGTTTGCTCCAGAAGGATGCACGAGCCCAAAATCAACTGCCCCAGTTCAAAACCAAAATACTAGATCATCGAATGAACATAAACGTTTAACACTTTTCAGGGTGTTGCTGTCCATGGACCTCCAAAAGGGATGGCCAATGGCAATGTCTAGCTAAACATCTATGGCCTGATCCTGAATATGATGTCAATAAAGGTTGGCCAGCAAAACCACATATCCAATTCTCCAAAGCTTGATTTTCACAGTCAACCAACATGAGTTCACGAGTAGCAATCCTTGTTCGCGTAAGAAATTCTATGACATGTCATAATATCATATATACAGTATATAAGTTTTGATAATATTATCATTGGTCTCAACCCTCAATCTAAACAACATCAAACAAGTTCAATCACCATGGGTAAAACATATGAATGAATAATATTTAATGCGAAAAATAAAAGCAAACTGATCTTATTATGGGGAGGTTCCCCAAACACCCTTGCTGATCTTTCTGGCGTTCCAGGTGAGGATTCATTGTGGTTCCGTCACGCATGGCCTCAGTTCAAGTAGCAAAAAGAACAATAGCACGTCCCAATTATATAATTCACACTTGGCTGGACGAAATTGAAAAGGGACATGATAAACATACACTATTTGCTTTCCAAGTTTCAGTTTCAATGCTTCAAAAGAAGTATAAGTATTACTTTGGTTTTGGTTCGTGCAAGAGTTTACAACAGCGCAGGACAGAACTTTGTAGTGGATGCTTTTCACAGAAAAAGCAAATAAAAGTGAGATAGTGATAGTAGAACTAAGTACTAAGCAACAACGTACCTTTGACAAATGTGTTACAACAATTTCTTCCCTGGAGCAGAGTGTCTGATTCATGTAAATCAATTCAAATGTTTGAACGTTAAAATTAAGCGATCCCTTCAGTAACAGTAATAGTGCTAAGAAAATCCCGTCGTGTTTTGCATCATCCTTTTTGGTGTTATTCGGCGTTCTTTATGTGTATTATACTGTCTATTTCCCATTGATAGAACACAAGAAACAGCACCTGTCAAAAGAAAAGGAGACGAGACGGTGTTTTGAATGACAGTAGTTGGTCACAGGAAAGCTCATATAGTAGAGCCTTACATATTAATTGGAAGGAAGGTAAGGACGGCATATGGCAATAGAAAAGCTTTTGAAAAAAGAGAAGGGACAAAGAAGGAGCAAGGCTTTAGATTGTGGCGAGTTGCTCGACAAACTTTGCCCCAAAGAAGAAAGGGAGAGCGGAGAGGAACCTGTTGAGCAAGTGCCTGTTGATGACACATGTACACGTAAACTTCCTATGTGGTTATGGGATTTCAGCGTTGGGTTTCCTCGGAAAGCCAAGATTCCACATGGCCTTGCGCCACTCTTTTTGTAAAGCTGTCCTGACAAAATAGTAGTGAGCAGTGTCCTTTTCAAGGACTTCCTCCTATACAGGGTTCCTTGTCAACACCCTTTCTCAACGCCTTTGTCCTTGACAATATTCTTATCCTTTACTACCCCACTCGCTGCAATCCTCACAGAAAGAGGGATTCTCAATGAGTTGGTGCGTGTTGCACCAGCATGGAACAACCGTGCAAGCCGTACATGTGGACTGCACCTGTGATGCAACCCTGTGGAAGTGTTCGACCATCTGACTTCGGCATGGTCGAATTGAAGGTACCAGGAAAAGGGTCCAATCTTGCTTGAAATGAAGCAAAGCCAAAAAGGAGGAAGTTTGAGGACGTGCTGACATTTCCGTCAACTTTCCATCGCAGTGAAAAGAACCAACATGACAATGCCCAATAATTGAGTTTGGAAGATGTCCACTGGCGAGAGGCAGTACTTTTGATAACCAAAACTGGAGCCAGGAGATGCTCCATCATACTGGAAACGTGTGTTTGCATGTTTCCCCAAGTTTTCCTAAGTTTAAATGGCCGCGAGGTGGAAAAAGGACAGTATACTCCTACGGAGTTCCGCTTCTAATCTGCTAGAGATACCTGTTTAAGATTTGTATGCTGCGTACTTTGAGGGTGTTCCACATCCAGTACAGGGCAGCAACAACCAGCGGCGGCTATGTACACTGATACACTCTCCTTTTGGCAGGTCCGCTTTGAAGCCAGTCAAATACAGGACTATCCTAAAGGATCTAAAGGATCAGTGGTTGAAGGAGGCAAGCAAGTCCTTCTTCTCAAGCAAGGAGGAAAGGAAAATGCTTGGGAGAGCAAGAGATGTACCAACAATGACGCAGGTTTGGCAACACCTTTTCAAAGGAGGGTACCTGTCTCTTTGGAATAGGGCAGGAACTTGGAGGCTCAAGAAACACACATGTTTTACAAAGGAAGACTTCGAGGATCAAATCGATGAAGTTCAGGTAGAGGGCAAGTGATTTGTGGACATACATGCTCGCAGATGAGAAAGCATTGAAACAGGAGGATATTGGACAAAACAGGATACTTTGTTCAGGATTGATTCTGCAGATTGCTAATTGTAATGGATTACACCCGTCTTAAGGAAAGCATGCTTACAAGCTTGAGCGCCTTTGCGGCTCCCGGAAAATGCTAGGTTTACAGTTTACTTAGGGCACTGGAAAATGCAGACCAAAGCCAAAAAGGGAAAACCATCTTCAAACAGAATGCACCAAACACAAACTGCGTAAGACCAAACTTGTGGGTGCTGGCTTTTGTGTAAGCCATTGGTTTTCTTGCTCTGTTCTCTTTGCAGCCATAGCCTAGGAATCTAGGTCTTGAAACTTTTTCAAACTCGAAGATGCACCCTGTCGCTTTTGGGCTCAAAACACATCCAAAACTATCCATTACCCAAAAAAAGACATAACGACACCTTTGTCAAAGCAGTTCTTGTGCCACCAATCATCTATATAAATCATTCAAAAAAGCCAGTATTAGTTGATCGCGGTCATATAGATTAGAGAACAAACAAAACTGGCCCGCCCTAGCCAAAGCTATTAGTGATTGAAATTGAAAAGCAAGTAATGTGTTTGCATGCCTGGATTTAACGTCGCACCTTCGGTTGGGGGGGGATTTGTCAACAAAAAAACTGTAAAACATAGTATTTCATAAGACATGTTGAGCTCAACACAGAACGATCTTACAGGAGCAAAAAGTGGCTTTGTTTGTTCAGCATCAATGTATCCCTTGAGGCAGCCACCCTGCGTCTGATCAACACGTTTCTGTGTCTTGTTCATGTATGGGGGGTGGGCAGGACTGTGCATTAACTCGCGTGTGGTGTCGCTCGTGACCGCTTCACGACAAGCCGCAAACAAAAACCACGAAAACAAACACAAATCATCGCGACTGATAGAACTCATAGAAACAGGAGCCTCCAGGCCCCGCGACTGGTGGCATACCATACCTTGCACGAGTCGGGCCATGAAATCCGAAGCCTGTTCTGAGCTGTGCAGCTGAGAGACATCGGAACCGGCATGTGTGGGGGAGGTGCATTTCCAAGTGCAGCTGCCATGGACCTTGGGCGGCACAAACGCGGAAAGAACACAGCACTGCAGAGGCAAAATCGAAGATAGATTGGTAAATGACAAATGACATCTCGGTATGTCATCAGTGTCGCTCTGTCGGTGCTAGATTCCCGACATAAACTTGGCAGAACGATTCCTGGACTGAGATAAATCCCAGCGAATCGCGATGGCCTGCAACGGTAAGTGGCAACAAGGAAACCCATCAGAAACAGCCAAGTAAACCCAGTACATATACATATATATATATACATATATATATATATTAACATGTATGTATAGCTGGTATGAGAAACAACCTGGACCAGGTCACAAACACAATGACACATGCTCGCTGCTTGCAGCACACAGAACCCGTCAGGAACGTCCTGATTGTGGGGTGCAAGTGCTCGCAAAGATCTTGCAGCGCTGTCCTCAATTCAAGCAAATTACGGTGCATCTTCCCCTGGCATGTTCTGAGTTGCAAACGTCCAAATCATTGTCCTGTCAGCAAGATCATGAAGGAAGACCTGTTTTGTGTATCTCTTCAAACCCCCATATATGAACGTGCCTCGAAGGCAATTGTGCAGGTCTCCGACAAAATTACGGTAAAATCTAAAACCTACCATGTATCTTTCATATGGTTCAGCAGCGCTGGCATAGATTCCACACAGTTTCACTTCGAATGTTGGCTGGACAAGCAGAGACAGCATCCTAGCCGAACATGGTGGCTGCTCAAACAATGGCGAGGCCAGAACAATCCCCTGACTCACATGACCAAGCCATTGATTACGGCCAGCCAGCTTGAGAAACACATTGGCTTGTTAGAAAGTCGTCGATGCAAACAATGAATAGTTGAGTTTCTTTATCAACAACTCCGCTAGCTGGGGCAAATTTACAAAGCCATTGAAACATGTTTTAGTGTTTTTGTCTCAAGATCTGTTACGTACTCTTGAACAGTGGCGAAATTGAGCGAAAAGCAAGTAAGGCAGGACAAGATCGGCAATCACAGCCAATCACTGCATCTAAAGAACACCACGGTGACGCGTCAACAATCACCACTCAAAGACACTTTGTAGCTGTGTTGTTTCGAGAACGTCTGTACTGGAGTTTGTATTTCCAAACACCACACCAAAACCAATTACAAAAATCACAGCAGTTGCTGACAATTTTTCCAGCGACGGTGCCTTTGGTGGGCGTTGGCCCTAAACCTACCGTGATTAAAATGCTAGGTGCAGAGGGAAACTGAGAAACTTAAAATACAAAAGGGGGAAGAAGTGGTGACATTTGTCACCGGGTCGTGTTTGGTGAGAAACGCATAATTTGAATGGATGGACAATAGCTAAATATACAAGAACTGCACAATTGCTTGCGTACTGTACAAACTAGGGAGGTGCTCGTAGTATTTGTGAAATCATACAGGGGCTTGTTGCCATTCCACCTCGAGTGCCCAGTTCACATAGGGTGTTTAGTTCACCATAGAGTCTCCAGGTCACATAACGTTTCTCATATTGTTCATTTCACATAGAGCATCCCTTTCGCATGTTTTGTATTGAACCCTCATTTCAATTTGTCAAATGGTTTCCCCAAATGATGCTAAGACCAACTCGAGTCCGGAGTTTGGAATGGGGGGAGGTATGCTCTTAAAGTTTCATGATTGGGTTGCGAGCTATACAGTAATTTTCTCTGATGATGTCCCACGCTTTTTTCATCTTGTCCATCGTCCAGATTTTTCTCGGTCTCCTACTCTTCATTGAGCCGGATTTTTGAGAATAGCAGTGCTGGAGCAAAAGGTGACTTGGTGATTTCTGCGGGTGATATAGCCAGTAGTTTTAATCGTTTCATTTCCAGGATTTCAAACAATGGTTTGATTTTACGTAATCGGCCTTGTAGGGCTCGAGGGCCAGCTTTTTAGTAGCCCTTAGCCCCAGAGTGAAATCACTCGTCCGGTCGCTCGCGCTACGCCATTGGTGTTCTTCGGTTGTTGGTGGGGAAGCTGAAGTCCATTTTCTGGTGAGGGTGACGCCGCGACCTACAAGCCCGGCTTGGCACAGAAGAGCTCGTGCGAAACGCCACAAAGCTAGACAGGTGCTTAAGCAACTCAAGTACAGGGGTACCCACTGCCTCACAGGCGGATTCGCCCGCAGGGTTGCCAGCTCTCTAGGCATCCTTAGGGCGCACCACAGCTGGCCTTGCTACAGAAACCATCCAATGGGAGGATGGAATCATGGCAAGGGCAAGCAGAAGAGTCAATGGTGGACGCACTGGGATGGTGCGTATCGCCTGCAGAACAAGGACATAGAGAGTTCCAAAGGAAAAGGAGCCGAGAAGAAGAAGGAGCAGAAGGGCAACAAAGGGGAAAAGGAGCCGGACAAGGCTTTCTCTTTCCCGGACTACGACTTCTCCTCATCATCAGCCTCCTCTTCGTCGAAGCAGCAGCTGGAGGAGGAAGTAAGAAAGGAAGTGCTGAAGTGCTTGAAAGCGAGTGGTGTGGAGCCCAGCGAGAGCCTCAGCGAGCTTCTCAATGCCGAACCAGAGCAATTGAGCAACCTCAAAGAAGAGCAGAAGACTTTGAACCAGAGAAAGAAACTACTGCTCAAGATCGAGAAGATCAAAAAGAGAATGAAACAAAAGAAGGAGGCTTGGGAAGTCTTCGAAGCGACGGTTCAGCAGCATGTTTCGAAGCAAGTCGCCAAGCACAAAGAGGACATGCAAGCCTTGTAACAGGAATTTAAGACCAAGGAGGAAGAAGGGCTCCGGAAATGCCAGACAGAGCTGCAATCAGGGCTCCGGAAATCCGAGAGCTCCGGACTTGGTGAAGACAGAGTGGCCCTGCTTCAGTTGCCACTCCGTCGAATGCCCTCTCGTTCTTGTGGGGCGGGACAGGTTTTTCCTGGCCAAGAAGAACCAATTTTGCGCTTGTATGATTTGCAGGTTAGAGGGGCAGAGTTACGGCACTACTCTGAAACTCTTAATGCAACGCAGGCGCTCTCTCTTTTTCGGCACAGACCTATGCAGCTCTTTGTAGTTGATACTTGTGCCATGCATGGTGTGGATGGCACCGGATGGAAAACAAGTCTTTTGAAAGTGTTTCCATCACGTTTTTGCAATTTTTTAGCGCTTTTGTACAGAGAGTGGTGGAGTACAAGAGCAATTCTGCCGCAGTTTGATGTCGATGTGGCCCGGCAGTGGCTAAATAAGCTTGTACAGGCACTGCCGACGGGTGAAACTACCTTTGGCCCCGGCTTCAACAGACGCAGCCACCGATAATTCAGAATTTACGTGCGAGGCACCGCACTTGAACCGAGACCATGGCGCGAATCGAAATCGAAATCGAAAAAAATCGGCCTTGTGTCCGGGAGTCAATCACTTCATTAGCTCTGCTGTGCACAAAATCATTTGCGTTTCGATCAATGGACGTTGCATGGAGCTGTAAATTTTCATGCATATAATCCTTTCAGTTGCAAAACATTCAGAAGGTGCACCGCGGCCTCTGTGGTTCCAGCGCTTCAAGGCTATAAAGAGCGCGAGAGGTAATGACTGAGTTGTAGACACGAAGTTTACACTTTTTGCAATTGGTTTTATTCCAAACAAAACCTGGCATTGCGACGATACGAGGGCGAATCTCTTGAGCCATGATCTGTGGTGAGAGTGTCTGAATATGTTACTTCGGATGAAGCCTGCATTGTGTTTTCATTCCTGAAACATATGTGGAACTGAAAGAGATGTATATAGATACCTCATGATGGTTGAGTTCATAGGCTGACCTAGCGACCTCTGTTGGTCTTTCCACCCGACACGCTGTCCCATCCCGGTTATTTTGCAACACTACCTACTCATCCCTGCTGTTTGTGATAGGTTTTACTTGTTGATGGTTTTGGGCTGAGGGTGAGGTTTGGCTGCGCTCCCCCTCCCCCCTCCCACAATGATGGTGAATCATTGATTCCCTTGGTGCGCTTCTGCTGAGACCTTTAACTAGTTACTTCCTTACTTTTCGTTTCGGTTGGGTGCTCTGTCACCATCTCCCTGTGGTTTCTCTGTGTTCCGTCTCTTGTTTGTGTTCGGGTCTTCGTACCGCTTTCATTCTCTTGATCTGGTCTTGAGCTATGCGCAGGTATGCCCATTGTGGGCGAACACCTGTTACCACGCTATGGGCAATGACAAGTGTGTCATCAGCGTACAGCAGTTCTTGAAGGTTATTTAAAAATATATACCTTGAAGGGATTTCTGATGCTGCAGGTCCAAGTATTGACACTTGACATCATGGAAAAGGACATGCGCTGTGAGGATAGAAACATAAGGGCTTAGGGGGCAGCAATGTCGAATCCCCGTGCGCTGCGTGTTCCAATGGCTTTCAAAAGCCTGCTGGATGACTGTCGAAATTGGATTGGCATAGATGCTCTTGATGTTGATGTTTTCCAGGATGCGCAATCTTGCAAGTGATAAAGATCATTTGTTCATCGTCAATTTTATCAAAAGTCTAAGGAATACTAGTTTACTAGTATCAGTGTAATGGATCATTTCCTTGCTCTGCAGAAGAAAGACGGTGAACGCCAAAAAGCAGGTTGGCTGTGGAGCGGCTGGCTCTGAAGCCAAACTGAGTATCACAAATATACGGACCAAGAAGGACGGAAGATTTTTTCCCCAATAGCCATGCTATGGGTTCTTGCAAAACTAATAGGCGGACGGGCGCCGTTGGGTCACCGTCAGAGCTGGTGGGCGGATGGTGTCCCGGTCATGTTTTGATGGCGTCCGGGTCATGTGATGCTGGTGTCCCGGTCATGTTTTGATGGTGCCCCGATCATGTTTTGATTGTGACCCAGTCATGTTGTGATGGTGTCCCGGTCCTGTTTTGATGGTGTCCCGGTCATGTTTTGATGGTGTTTTGGTCATGTTGTGATGGTGTCCCGGTCATGTTTTGAAGGTGTCCCGGTCATGTTGTGATGGTGTCCCGGTCATGTTGTGATGGTGTCCCGGGCATGTTTTGATGGTGTCCCGGTCGTGTTGTGACGGTGTCCTGGTCATGTTTTGATGGTGTCCCGATCATGTGATGGTGGCGCGGTCACGTTGTGATGGTGTCCCGATCATGTTTTGATTGTTTGATGGTGTCCCGGTCGTGTTGTGACGGTGTCCCGGTCATGTTTTGATGGTGTCCCGGTTCTGTTGTGATGGTGTCCTGGTCATGTTTTGGCGGTGTGCCGGTTATGTTTTGATGGTGTCCGGGTCATGTGACGGTGTCCCGGTCATGTTGTGATGGTGTCCTGGTCATCTTGTGATGGTTTTCCCGTCATGCCATGTTGGTGTCCCGGTCACCTTGTGATGGTGTCCCGGTCATGTTGTGACGGTGTCCCAGTCATGTTGTGACGGTGTCCCAGTCATGTTGTGATGGTGTCTCGCTCATGTTGTGACGGTGTCCCGGTCATGTTTTGATGGTGTCCCGGTCACCTTGTGATGGTGTCCCGGTTATGTTGTGATGGTGTCCCAATCGTGTTGTGACGGTGTCT